GTAAACTCAGTATAATCCTACAAGTTTCAGTACTATCCATTGTCCTTGAAGGAGCCTAAATCTGTAACATCAGAGTTTTTCTATACATAAAAGGTGTTTAGTAAATATATTTTAGTTACGTCAAGGTTGCAAACTCAAGGCTAAGACTAAGTGGCACAGTCGGTAGTGTGGAACTGCAGTGCTGAAAACCACAGACTGGGGCCGGCAGGTTGCATGGTGGTTAAGGGCGCTGGACTCCCACATGGCCGACCGCAGTTCGAGTCCCAAACCTGGCGACTTGCTCTCTGTCTTTCTCTCTCTCTCTCTCTCTCTCTCTCTCTGTCCCTCTCTGGTCAAATTAAAAATAAATAAGTAAATAAATAAAGTTAAATGAAATAATTCTTAAAACACACACACAGAGACTGATCATAGGTTCTAATGCCCAGCCTGGTCCACCTGGAACACACTGGGCAAGCATGTGCCCAAGATCCTGAGAAGCTGAAGGACTGGAGAAATGGGATTGTGGTAAGACCAGACCCTGTGGAGGATGCTGTTCTCTTCCCCCAACAACCCGTATTTCTCTCTCTCTCTCTCTCTCTCTCTGTCTGTCTCTTTCTCTCTCTCTCTCTCTCTCTCACACACACACACACACACATTTGCTCATGAATTTAAAAAAATGTTGCAAACTGAAGTGTATTCAGAATTCACAAAGGTAAGGTGGATAATGTGGCAAATTTGGAGACTGCCACTACTAAGCTTCAGCCAGCTGGTGATTGTCATGTGGGAATCCAGGTTGGGTACTTCCAGGATCTTGTGATTATGTGAAAAACAGAAATACAGATATTTATGTGAATCTCCCAATTGGTAAGATGTGAAGTACCAGCATTATTGAAACTTCCACGCATCTTCCCAAAATATGTGTCTGTGGACCAGGTAAGACCCAGCCCTCTAGTTAGCACCCCTAGTTTCACATGCTTTGGGGACCGTGCCCCATGCTCCTCAACCCAGATTGGTTTTATTTGCAGCCAGTCTCCTAACGAAGCTTGTTCAAGAGTCCAGTGCCCTCTGGAAGGCACGGGAGGGCTTGGGGACTTCCAAGGAGCTCGTCCAGAGCTCGATCTCTCACACTCAGCTGTCTCCTTTCCCGAGTACAGCGCCTTGACCACTGCATGGTGCCAGCTGCAGCAGAGTTCTGGGGCAAAGGGCCTTCCAGGCAGCCCTCAAGCTGACATGGACCTAGAATTTGCCCTAGGCATCATGATCACTGAGTGCACATCCACGAAGCGTGGCCCAAGCCCCCTCCAGCCTCCCTAAAAGAAGTGGTCATTCCTTCCCTTGAGGACATCTGCAGATGACTGGAAGCTGCCAGGGAGCACCAGTTCTCCCCCATTTTCATCTCCCCAGGCCCCAGTGAACATATCTAGGGATCCTGGATCATGTATGATGAGAGGGACCACCACCTCTGCCCTCTAAAAGTGCTAGAACTATCAGGGCCAACCCCCAGCAACAATTAAGCTTTGTGCAGAGAGACCTGGATCCCACATGGCTGACTGGGCTCTGAATCCCAGCCACTTGAAAAACAAGTCAGCCATCGGGAACCAGCAGTTAGCGTAATGGCTATGTCGCTGGACTCCCACGTAGTCGACCGCGGTTCGTGTCCCGGACCCGGTGGCTTAAAACTCACACCGGGCGCGTGTGCGTGCGTGCCCAAGATCCCGAGAGGAGAATGGAGGAGCAGGGATTGCGGCGTGACCATCCCCCCTGGGGGGTGATTTCTCGCTTTCTGTCTCTATGCCTCTCTCTGTCTGTCTGGCGAGCGCACGCGCCCTACAGTGAAAATCTCTCCAAAAAAAAAAAAAAAAAAACAAGCCAGCCATGTGTGTGCTCATGCCCAGGACCTGATGGGATGGAGAAATGGAGGAAAATGGGGTAGTGACTTGATGAGGCCCTAGTGCAGGGTGCTTTCTTGTGTGCGTGTGTGCGCATGCTCTCCGGCCAAAGAAATAGTTTTTAAAGTGCTCTTTTAGGTGACTCGGAGGAGACTTATGACTGGTATCTTTGCCCACACTCATTATGCCCAACAGTAAACATTTCCTGTTTATCAATATTAATATGCACTTAATATATACAAGGGAGTTGAGGCTGGCCTAAAAACAACTCTGGATATTGCTGCATCTTTGTGAATTTTGCCAATAACTTACAACAATTGTTGCTTGTGGCTCGGCCTTGGGAATTTTTACAAAATTCTCTCTGCCTTGGCTTTATTGATCTCCCTGTGAGAATTTGAACCCAAACGATGGGACAGAGCACAGCGTTGTTTTTGAAGAGTGTCACGTTGTGCAATGGTGTTACATGCATTCTATCCAAGTGAATCCAGTAGTAAGCAGAGGTTAAGTTAAAGAAGTGACGTTAATCCGGTGTTACAAGAGGCATCTTTTTGGGTGAGAGGTCAGCCCTTCCACCATCGGTCAGAACATGAGTGTTCCAGTAACCAGAGCCTGCTGGGTCCTGACCTGTGACTCACACTGTAGACCTTCCAGAAACTCAGAAACCTGTGTCCTCATGAAGTCTTGTTAAAATGTGGGGGATTTGGTCCTCCCTCTCAGAGTTAGAAATGGAATTCACATTTTTTAAGTTTATTTATTGGGCTGGCAGAAAAGTCATGACATATTTTTTTCTATGTAAAACTGCATCATTACTGGGGACCAGCAGTTGGCATAATGGCTATGTCCCTGGACTCCCATGTAGTTGACCACGGTTCGAGTCCCAGACCCAGTGCTTAAACTCACGCTGGGCGTGTGCGTGCGTGCCCAATATCCTGAGGGGAGATTGGAGGAGAAGGGATTGTAGTGTGGCCATCCCCCCTGGGGGATGATTTCTTTCTGTTTCTCTGTCTCTCTCTTTCTGGCGAGCGCATGTGCCCTATAGAAAAAAGCTCTCTAAAAATAATAATAACATAATTTCTTTTTTTTTTTTGAGAGAGATTTTCACTGTAGGGCGCGTGCGCTCGCCAGACAGACAGAGAGAGACATAGAGACAGAAAGCGAGAAATCACCCCCCAGGGGGGATGGTCACGCCGCAATCCCTTCTCCTCCATTCTCCTCTCGGGATCTTGGGCACGCACGCAAACGCGCCCGGCGTGAGTTTTAAGCCACCGGGTCCAGGACACGAACCACGGTCGACTACGTGGGAGTCCAGCGACATAGCCATTACGCTAACTGCTGGTTCCCATAACATAATTTCTAACAGCTTAAGACTCCGCTCCTAAAATGACCCTAGCTCTCCTTAAAGAACCTGACTGAAAAAACTCAAGGCTGTCAAAATAATTTACTTTTCAACTAATACCTGAAGATACAGTCTCTGTCTCCCAGTCTCAGTGGGAAAGTAGGAGCCTAACTTTGATAAGCGCCTGTTAACAAATTCAGGTGGTTTTCACACAAACCAACCTCCACCCCTCCCACCTTTTGTAATGTTCATATTAAGTTGATTTATGTATTCCATGAGAAAGAGAGAACACTCCCAACAGGATCTTGACATGGCAATCCACCCCCAGCTTTGGCCAGCCCCCGATGGGGCACACGCATGTCCAGTGTATCCAGGGAGTCTCCGCACTTAATCCGGGAACCTTCCCGTCTGGGATTGCCTCATAGTCTCGTGTTTTACCACTACGCCACCATCTGAACTTCTTGTAATTTTTCACATTTCTAACTTGACCAAATCCCTGCAGCGCCACCTTCCCATCCTCCCATACTCCTTTTAGAGCACCCATCACCTCCACACTAATGAAAGTTCAGTTCAGTTCACACTGGACTCTTCCCTGTTGCCCTGTACCTACAGATTAAAATCTGCCTTTTCCACCTTAACCCGTGTCCAGCTTTGTTCACTTTTGATACTCCTCATATAACTGATGTCAGAGCCACGCTCTATAAAAAGTGTCATCTGAAATGGGAATAAAACTATTTTGGGGGAACCAGCAGTTGGCATAATAAGTATGTCACTGGGACTCCATGTGGTCGACTGCAGTTCAAGTCCCAGGCCCGGTGGCTTGAACTCACGCCGGGTGCCTGTGCGTGCATACCCAAGACCCAAGAGGAGAATGAAGGAGAAGGGATTGTGGCGTGGCCATCTCCTCTGGTGGGGGGTGATTTCTCACTTTCTGTCTCTCTGTCTCTCTCTTTCTGGCGAGCGTACATGCCCTATAGCAAAAATCTCTCAAAAAAAAAAAATGATTTTTTGGCCTCCAAACTAACCATGGGCAATTTGCCTGTGACATACTTTTTATTTGACTACATGACCCAGAAGAAAGGGAGAAATGCCCCCAAGTTCCAAATCTAGAAAGGAAACACTTAAATGTCCTGGAGGACGAGAGGGTCCCTGCTGGACTGTCAGCATGTAGTCCAGTATAGCCTAGCACAGCACTGTCTGGTGGAAACTGCCCAGGCTCTGCTGAAACAAGAAAACCTGGGTTTAGCCACTTAAGCTGTTAGGCCTGGAGCCTCAGTTTCCCCATTTATACAGCCCCAGTGCCTGTCTCACAGTTGATGCTTCTACGTACAAGCTGCTTGCCTTTCTTACTAGTCAGGGCTCCTCCAAACCCACGTTTGCACAGTCAAATGCAAATCTTCAGCATCCTGCACAGCAGAATCTATAAGGCTGCATGCATGGCAGCTCCAGGACTGGTTCATTAATCAAGGGCTCGGCAGTCAATGAAGTCACACAGGATATGCTTTGACTCAAGGACAAGCACAGTTTATTTTCTACATTATATTTCATGTCACAAGCTGAACCACAGAAGCTGCCTGTCAGTACAGTACCTGGGGCCCCTTCTCTCTGACAGCCTGCGGGAACCTTCTGGATCATGCGGCTTCAACTCTCTTTCTATATTCTATGGTGGGTCGTGAACCCCCATGAGAATCTAACAAAAATCAAAGACTCACTCCCAAGAACTATGCACATACACAAAAGCACACAAACTCAGCATGGAATGTTAAGGGGTCCATAGACCCCCTGAAGCAGATCCTAGGACTGCAGCCAAAGGACCCTGGTCTACACCATGGCCTGCAGAGGGCAGCAGGGCAGCTGGAGCCCACACTGATGGCCGCACTCCGGAAAGCTGGGCACGCTGTAGAACTTGATGAGCTTTTTGAAGGCACTTTTCTTCAGCATCATCATCTCCTCTGGAAACCTGGAAAAGATTCTGGCCCGGGAGGAGCCCCCATTCTTAGTAGAGCCCTCAGCGGGCAGAGGCTTTTGTGCACTCACGGGCACACTGTTGCAACTGAGGGAACGAACCGTCTTCTTCTTATTCTGCACAGACAAGTAGCTGAACAGGAAGGAGGACAGCTTGTGCTTGGCCACAGCTGGGGCCTCTTCGGAAAAGCAGTCATCAAATGGATCCAGCAGGGTTTCAAGATGGCAGCTGTCCTTCCTTCTCATAGGACTGGCTCCCGCACGCTCAGGCTGCTTGATGATCTTCCTGGCCTGGCTTGGGTCATCTCCTGCCTCGTTGACAAGCTGATGGGACACTCCGTTGACCAGTACAGTACCTGATCTATTGCCGCTGACTGGGGGGATGAGGTTCCCAACTTGAGGGCGAGGCTGTAAAGTACAGTGCTGACTCAGGACCAGAGTGGCAGCATCTTGGATGAGACTCCAGTCTCTCAGGATGTCATCCCTGGTGGTAAACTGGGAAGTCACAGTGAAGCGAATGATCAGCTTGTCCTGGATAGTGGCCGGGATGAGGAAGAGACGGCCGACTTTAGCTATTTCCTTTAACACACTTTCTGTGAGACAGTTAGGACCCTGTGTGAAGGACGAAAAGAGGCAAAGTCTGCGTCACATTCCCCGCCAACATCCGCAGAAGCCCGGCATTTCTGCTCCCAAGAGCCTCAATGACCACCTGCTCTGGAATACTGAATGGCATTCACAGGAGGCCATGGAAGACGGCATTACCTTTAGACGAAAAACCACCAGGCCAAGGTGCCTCTTGGCAGGAATTTCAAAGAAAGGGTCGTCTCTAACCAGAGATTCAAAATATTTAGCCATTTCAGTACCCTGCAATTGTAAATATAGACAGAACTGAGATTAATCATCACACAAGGAACAAACTACGCATAAACCTTCACAAGGCTAAATGGTTTTAAACCAGTGAGACCTTTGGACCATCAAGACCTGAGTGGCTTCTGCCTGATGATCTCTTCCTCTTGATTTTGTTCATATTCCAAACTGGAAAATCTCTAACAGCTCTGAATTTCCTGTCACGTCAGATCCACCCCCCAGAAATTGTGTCTCAAGGCCTTCCTCAACTTAACCCCAGAACCCAAAAGGTATGTTCTTTGCAGCCCAGACAACCCTGCCTCATATCCTGGCTTCACAGTGTCTTGACGGGCCCAGGAGTTAGCAAGGGCCAAGCCCAGTCCTATCCTGCGTTCCCAGCAGGGTGCCTCCTGCAGCCGCATCTGCCCAGAGGAAGAGATGCCCATTTCTAGCACACGTAAGGGCACCAGGGGGGCTAGCAAGAGCCCTACTCCATGCTAAGCCCATGTTTCCCTGGCTTCTTATGCCTCTTCCCATTTTGTACCTCGGACACCCTTTCATCCCCCTTTTACTGACATTCCACAGAGAACACATCTTTACATTACACCACCCCAATCCTGGAAAAGGCTTTGTACTGGTTGTCGGGTACAGAGTCTCTGCTCAGGATAATGAAAAAGTCCTGGAAATAGTGGCGATAGTTGCCCAGTGTTGTAAACGTACTTAAGGCCACGGACCATTCTGAAAAATGTAGGGTCTACCTGTGGTCATGCAGGCAGCGGGTGCCTCTGCATGATGCTGGAGCCACAAGAGGGCCTGGGTTTGGTTCCAAACCAACCTAAAAATGCCAAGCAGCATATGCTTATAGTACTAGCTGACTGGGGGCTGCAGAAGGAGGGCCACAGCATGGCAAAGAGAAACCCTGTCAACATGCCTATTTCTCTCTATCTTCCTCCCTGTCTCTCACTTAAAAAAAAAAAAAAAAAGAAAGAAAGAAAGAAAGAAAGGTAGGGGGAGCCCAGCTATAGTGGCACATGCTGCTTAGACACTGAGCTCTGCAGGCTGGGACCACATGGGAGGCCCAGGTTTGATTCCCTATCCAACTTAAAGTGAGGTGCCATGGGCCTGTAATCCCTGCAAGTTGGGAGGTGCAGGCAGGAGGATTGTGAGCTTGGATCTGTCAAGGGCAATATAAAAAAAAAAAAAAAAAGCGAGAAAAAAGCCAAGTGTGGTGGCACATACCTGTGGTCCCAGATGGGACACTAAGGCAGGAGATCCTATCTTTAAAAACAGGGGGTGTGGGGGAGCCAGCAGGTGGCATGGTGGTTAGGGTGCTGGACTCCCACATGGCCAACCACAGTTTCAAGTCCTGACCTGGCAGCTTAAAAATCAAGCTGGGTTGGGACCAGCAGTTAGCATAATGGCTACGTGGCTGGACTCCCACGTAGCCAACCGTGGTCCGA